TTTTGGGTGTTGGAAAAGTGGCATTGAAATATTCTGGAGTAAATTGTACTTTTTTAGAAGGAAACTAAAATAAAATTACATCAGTGAATTAAGGAATGTCTACTCTTTATATTGATACTTTACAACATGAATATACACCATAAACCCGAAGAGTTACCGCGGTTTGAAAATGAGCTATTTTTGCTATATTCGATAATTAGCAAAAATAGCTCATTTTCAAACCGCGATAACTCTTCGGTTTTATGGAGTACATTCATGTTTTAAAGTATCAATATAAAGAGTAAACATTCCTGAATTCACTGATTTAATCTTATTTTAGTTTCCTTGTAAAAAGTACAATTTACTCCAGAATATTTTAATGCCACTTTTCCAACACCCAAAACATGCATAAATACAATGGAAATTTAACATAAGTAAAATGCAATATATATACAAAATTATTCAAAATATCTTTTATTAAATTACTAAGCAAAAAGGTTATCAAAACATACCTTTGAGAAAACGAGATCTTCACAGCAAAAATCGCAATATATATTTCAACAGTTTTTTTTTCAACAGCGTTGAGAATAAATAGCTTGAATAATAATGAGCCGCATTGATTCGCGCGTTGCATTTCGGGAAGACTCTCATTCCTCTTCTGTCAAGTACTGTAACTATCCGCATACAAATAAGTAAATACACAATAGACATACCTTTGAAATTATTATTAGGTCTTTGGAACTTTATATGTAGAAAATTTGAATAAAATCTTTCCTCTCTGAATGTTTGCTCCCAAAAGATCGAACTTGGCGCTTTGGAGTCAACAGATCGAATTACTACAACCACGCGTGATATATTCTAAGCATGTTAATTGGTTGAAACACTGGAACTTCCACTTGTCGCAAATTATATTCAGCAGAATTCAGCAGCAGGACATTCCAAATGTTCAAATTACAGATTAGACCGCGAGTGGTCCCTCGAAGAAATGAGGGATCGCAGACTACACAGCAAGAAACGAAATACGCCCACTTTTCGCTCTTGTCAAATTGGCCTCGCCTTTGCATAAACATTGCTATATCCAATTAAATCTATCCAATATGAAACCGTTAATGTCATGTTTAGTTACAGGGTTTATAAAAGAAGGTAATCGAACTTCAGCGCGCTATTGTACCCGAATTACTCGGCGTATGAACATTTTTTTTTTCATATTCGAAAAGATGAGGCTTTTAGCTGTTGAATGACATGTTTTTCATGCCAAATGGAGAAAAATAAGCAAGTACGAGTCCGATAAAAATGTTAGTCAGAATCGCATATTACAACGGTGAAAATATGCGATCTGACTAGCATTTTTTATCAGACTCGTACTTGCTTATTTTTTATCCATTTGGCATGAACAACATATCATTCAACAGCTAAAAGCCTGATCTTTCCGAAGATGAAAAAATCTCGTTCATATGCAGTAATTCAGGCACATTAGCGCGCTGACGTTCGATTACTTTTATTTTGACACACCCTGTATAAAATCAACATTCACTCTGGAAATTATTTATAGCATAATTACTACATACCAGATTTGATTGGCAGACGTATCGATTTCGACCAATGGGGATTTTGCGTTGTGTGGGCAACGCGGTTTCATTTCTTGACTGTGTTGTCTGCAGTCCCTCATTTTCCTTTCTCGTGCCCGGAAATCTCATCCCGCGGAAATGAGGGACCGCTCGCAGTCTAATTACAGATTTACGCACCAAATCAAAAATAGACAAAACTGATATGCTGAGCCTGAGAGCAATGACAATTCAATCGTCGCGTGCGATTGAACAATAAGAAGCCGATACTGGTAATAAAGCAATCTGACTTGCCAACATTCAAATTGCCACGAGTAAATTATTCCGGTCTAACTGGTAAAAAAAAGCCACAAAGCAATGTTTTAATAGAGTGTCGCAGATGGTTTTGTCGAGGATTGTAGGTCTTGTGATGATTTTACACAAACTGCAGGCTTTCACTACGAATTTGTATAGCAAATATCGCCCTAATTCAAGGTTGAAGAAACTTGAATATAGTTTTTGTCATTCCTATGCATTAATTCCTATGTGTAATGGTCGAGTTATACTACACAGGCCGAGTAAAAACTAGGCGGAATATTACTCGATATTTTTACTCCTACTACGATTAAATTAATTGTGGAGTAGAAAATATAAAGTAAAATTTACTTCGTTGTTTTGATTATGAGTAAAATTTACTCCGTTATATTTTTTACCCTCAGTGGAGTATATGTTCGAATACTCATATCGAAGACTGAAGTGTAGTTTTAAATTCATTTTTTTCCTTTTGGAGTAAATTTAACTCCAAAATTTTCACTCCCAATTTTTAATTCTCAGTGAAGTTAATTAAAATAACTCATTCAAATTAGCAGTGTACACTCAACTAAATGACCAATAAACAGTTGGTTATAATAACTTTTATAAATTGGTCGAAAGATGAGCAATTTTTTCGACCAATTAAGTAATAGTCAAACGAACCAAATTTAATTGGTCAAATGCGACTAACTAATTAAACAATTGGTCAAAATGACCAATTGCCAATGGTTGCAACCTAAAAAATTGGTCATTTTACCCAATCAGTTTTTACAGTGTATAACGTTCCTTAAATGAATTTGCAGTCATCCGGACGTAGTGTGTAATTTCTCCATTATCTCTCGTTATGACGTCAGCTTGATTTCAGCTTGGCTGCTTTCCAGGCAACGCTTTCCGAGTGGGCATTCGTTCGCGTTTCTACAGTTGCATTTCCTATCGGGTACGGTCCTGACTGTTGTGTCAGAGGTATTTGTAGCTTTTGTTGTCTTAGAAAGAGTACGGTGGTTGTGTCTAGAAACGGCGCTTTTTCCATTTTCCATGCAAGAGTAACTGCCTTTGATTGTATTAACTGACTTGTGGAGCCTGCTCTTTTTCGGGAAATGCTTGCCAATGAGTTGCAAAAAGGTCTTAGCTACGTTCGTCTTTACATTCTTGTTGTATAAGGTGGGTTGAACCAAATAATCTTTCGTTGCCGTTTTTTTCTTCGTTTGCTGGTCGCGTTGTTGTTGGGAACGTGGTTGAGGTTAGCGTCGTAATTACTCTGGTGGAGTGCGCTTTCGTATATAGTGGGACAGATGTGTCAAAAGTTGATTCGATGAGAGCTGCATGCGAAATTCGTTTGTCTATAGACTGTGGTATCTGTCTGATGATTGATGGGGGTAATATACAAGGGTAATACTGTTTATAACTTCCTTGACGTTACGCTTGACCTTAAAAATGAAAGTTACCAACGCTACAGAAAACCCGATGACGAACACGGAGTTATAGTTACATAAAACGACTAGCCTCCTAACATTTACTCAATGACGACCGAGTATGCTTTTACTGTTGCTTGAATTTTTAAGCTGGCGAAAAATTTGCGGAGAAACTGTTTAAATGCTGCAAATAGAAAACAGTGATGCACAGGCTAATTTGCTAATGTTTTTCAGAAGCTGGACTGCTGGAGTTTGTAGTGTTACGTCACTTGCGGTAAGCCTCGTGGGAGGCATGAGTTGAGAGAGCCTGAGCGGGAAAGTAAAAACATATTTTGCAAGCGAATGTGAGCTATAAAACTAATAAAACCTAAGACATAACATTGGCGACGAGGGAGGTGGCGACGATGCCTATAGTAAATCCAATGCCTCCATTTGATCCTGACTCGGACGTTGGAGCAAATATTGGCCCCAAGTGGAAAATCTGGATGGAAGACTTTGAGATGTACATTACCGCGAATGGCATTGCAGACAAAGCCAAGAAGCGAGCGCTGCTTTTATACCTGGCAGGCGCCCGAGTTCGCGAAATTTTTCGGCAAATCCCTGATAATGGAGATGACAAAGACTACGACAAGGCGGTTGAGAAACTAAACGAATATTTTGAACCACAAAAACATCGATTGTACGAGGTGTACAAATTTCGCGAGGCACGACAAGTCGTCAGCAAAACTTTAGGCCAATATTATACGCGATTGCGGAGTTTATCTACCCGATGCGAGTTTGCTGATCCAGATTTTGAAATAATGGTTCAAATTGTCTTATGTGGTCGCTCCAGTCTACTCCGAAAGCAAGTCTTACGTGATCCCAAAATGACATTGAAAGACCTACTAGTTTTGGGCCGTCAATGTGAACGAAGTCGTCAACAAGCTGCAGAGATCGAGGAAAATACAAGAAACAATCAAACCGGTATGAACGATGACTCTGTTGTGGATGCTGCTCTCAATATCCCTGCTGGAAAGACATCGCAAAAAGTGATTTGCAGGAATTGTGGTTCTGAATGGTCACACAACACGGTAATATGTCCAGCAAAGGGAAAAGGATGCCGAAAGAGTTCCAAACTGAACCATCTTGCGAGATTGCGTCGATCTGCGCCTGCGGTGGCGCGAGGTCAGCGGCAAGACCGTGGACGATGGCAAGGACGTCACGAAAACAAACCTATTCGGCCACTTAATGTCTTGGACAATGACAATGAATCAAGCGACTCAGACAATTATTGTTATTCAGTTAACAATACAACTTAAGGCGCAAAATCCCTACACAAAGTTGAAGATTAACAATCGCAACGTAAAGTTTACGGTTGACACTGGATCCAGTATAAACATAATAGATCAACAAACCTTTGTGCAATTGGGACATTATACATTGTCCGAAACAAACATCAAAGCTTATGCATTTAATTCAAACGTCCCTGTTAAAATGAATGGGAAATTTACCACCATTGTGGAATCACGGCGCAAGATTACGGTGACAACCATAAATGTTACAAAAGCAAACGGTGGTTGTCTTTTGAGTGGGTCAACTGCAGAAGAGCTAGGACTAATTAGCTTACATTTGAATGCGGTACAAATAACAAAATCATCCCAAACACCACCGACGTTTACATCAATTAAAGATAATGGAGTACAACGTGTTGTCCAGAAGTATCCAAATGTTTTTTGTGGCCTCGGGAAATTACGACATCAAACAGTCGAACTGCTTGTTGACAAAGATGTAAAACCAGTTACTCAGCGTCAACGTCGCATTCCATTCCACCTGAGATCTAAAGTCGATGCGGAGTTAAGTCGGTTACGGGATGAGGACATCATTGAACGCGTACCAGATACAGAAGCAACCGAATGGATATCTCCAATCGTCATCGTGCCAAAAAAAGACGACAATATTCTCCTATGTATTGATATGCGCGCGGCAAACACCGCTATTAAACGAATTCGACACCCCATACCAACGGTGCATGACATTTCGCATGAATTAAATGGTGCTAAATTCTTCACAAAATTAGACCTTACACAGGCAAATCACCAACTTGAGTTAGCCCCTGAAAGCCGTCATATCAGAACATTCATCACACACGCGGGGTTGTTTCGTTTTAAGCGTTTAAACTACGGCACAAATTCGGCCGCAGAAATCTTTCAACATGCACTGCAACATGTTTTTGATGACATCCCAGGAGTCCGCAACATTGCCGATGACATTTTAGTTTTTGGATCGTCTTACAAAGCACATAACAAAGCCTTGGATGGGTGTCTACATCGCATGGTTTGACCCTCAACTTTGACAAATGTCAGTTTCTGCAACCTAAGCTTGAATTTTTTGGACCTAACTTTTCAGCGGACGGTGTTCGCCCATTTCCTAAGAAGGTGTCTGCCTTGGCTACTGCTGCTATGCCCACCACGGTGAGTGAGGTCAGAAGCCTCCTTGGCATGGCGAATTACAGCTCACAATTTATCCCCAACTTTGTCACAATCACGGAACCATTACGGCAACTCACCCACAAAGGAACACCTTTTATATGGACTCAGGAACAAGACCATGCGTATAATACACTGCGAAAGGCTTTAATTAACAGTCCTGTGATGAGTTACTTCGATGTCAACAAAGCCACTGAAGTGACAGTGGATGCGAGTCTAGTGGGGCTGTCCGATCAGCGATCTTATCTAAGCGTGATTCACCTTCATCACCCCCAAACATAGTCGCTTATGCTAGTCGTGCTCTCACCTCTACCGAGCGACGCTATTCGCAAACTGAAACTGAGGAAGCGCTGGTGGGTATTGAGTATTTCCATTTGTATCTGTATGGTGCAACCTTCACTCTGTATACCGACCACAAAGCCCTCGAAGTCATCTTTGGGAACCCAATTTCAAAACCACCAGCCCGAATAGAACGTTGGTTTCTACGCCTCCAGCAATATAAATTTCGGGTCGTTTATAAATCAGGCAGTACAAATCCGGCAGACTACTTGTCTCGCCATCCCCCTGATAGTAAACAAAAACAAACGAACATTGCAGACAAGTACGTACATTTCGTAACACACACAGAAGTCCTCCCCGCACTTACAGTGGACGATGTTCGCAAAGCAACCAGCAAAGATACATTACTTGGTTTGATACGTACAGCAATCCAGACGGGACAGTGGTCCAGTAGTGAACTGAAACAGTTCAAGCCCATCAAAGATGAACTATCTATTGACTACACCAACAATGTGGTGCTTCGGGGCACCAGACTTGTAATCCCTTCATCATTGGTTCAAGGGCACCAAGGGCAGGTCAGAACAAAGGCGTTGATACGGGAACACGTTTGTTTCCCAGAAATGGACAAAAAAGTTCGTGCAGAACTTGAAAAGTGCCTCGCTTGTCAAGCCACTGGGCAACCAAGTCAACCAGAACCCCTTCGGTCCACCCCGCTACCTAACAAAGCATGGGACAAACTCAAGATTGATTTATATGGCCCATTACCGACTCGCCAGTATATTTTGGTGATACTGGATTGCTATTCACGATTTCCGGAAGTAGAAGTGTTGTCTTCGATCTCTGCCAAGACTGTAATCCCGGAACTCGATGCAGCTTTTCCCCAGCATGGTGTCCCTTCGCAGGTTGTTTCAGACAATGGGCCACCTTTCCAACAAGGACATGAATTCAACAGATACATGACATAATACCTCCACACCTCTTTTGCCTCAGGGGAATGCGGAAGTTGAAGCGTTCATGAAGCCGCTCGGCAAGGCTATTCGAACGCCGAACCTCGAAGGATGGCCTTGGAAACAAGAGCTCTCCAAGTTCTTGTTAGCGTATCGGCTTACCCCCCCCCCCCCATTCGACCACAAAGGTACCACCTGCTCAGTTGCTACATAACCGAGAAATTCGTGGAAAATTGCCCACACTTCCCCACAACAGCAAAGTCATTAACCGACATAGAGAAGCGAAGCAAAATGACAAAGAACAAAAGCAAAGGGAAAAACGATATACAGACTCTCGACGGCATATACGAACAAGTAAACTACGAGTTGGAGATCGTGTACTGGTGAGGCAAAAGGAAACGAATAAATTTTCAACCAATTTCAGTCCTACGCCATAAACTATCGTTGCCATAAAAGGGTCAAAAGTAGTCGCGAGAAACCAACAACACTCCATCACGCGAAATGTATCGTTCTTCAAGAAGATAGCGGAACAAGCGGTTGGTCGAGAAGAGGGTGATGAGGATGTTGTTAGCAGAAGACAAGAAAAAGGAGACCAAGCACAGTAACAATACCAACAAGAACAACAAGAGCCTAGAAGATCTACACGAAACACACGGCAGACAAACTTTTATGGACACCCAATAAACACGGGGTTGAGACTGTAAAAAAACACTCAAACAACAACTTCACAGAGTAATTTATTTTGACATTTGCATTGACAGTTTGAAATATTTGACATTCCTTTGTCCTGTTAGAAAAAGGGAGTGATGCAGTGTTACGTTACTTCCGGTAAGCCTCGTTGGAGGTATCAGTTGAGAGAGCCAGAGCGGGAAAGTAAACACATATTTTGCAAGCGAATTTGAGCTATAAAACTAGTAAAACCTAAGACATAACAGAGTTTTCGATGAAAGACGTTAAATCATTTATGGGTTTCGACCGTCGTGTTGCTCAGTTTTAATTTTTGAATTTTATTTTTTGTCTTTCGAAATTTGCCGAAAATATATGTATCTAATTAAGTTGTTTTTATCAAAAGCACTGAAGGCACTTTCTAACCACTTATGTTCAGTTATGTTGGGTTTTTCAAGGTTTTTTCTCTGCTATTTTGTACGCTTTTGCCCAAAATTTTCGAGACAAAAACAAATTCGACGAATGCTAAGCCGGTTAATTTTACACGCAGAATTAGTAACAATAATGATAAAATTGCTTTATTCTCTTGGTATATTCCTTCTTGCTTCGTGATAAATTTTGTTTTGACAAAATCTATAGTTTTGTCCCTATTTTTGGCTAAAATGCAGAGTGAAGTATTTAATGAAATAGCTTCCGAAGAAATTAAATTCTTGTTGTCATGTATGGCTTGTATATTGGCCTATTGTGAAGACGTGCATATTTAAGTAAAATCAATGTTATGTACAACCTCGTTTCCGGGTTCTTCCCTCTTTTGGAGAAAAGACCCTGGTCGGGTCTGGTCACGTGACCCATAGAAAATTGATAGCCTAAGAGGGGGATAGAAAAGTCTCATATTACATGTTTCCACTTCTGCCTTCACACTTCGATTATAAGGAGTGGCCGTTCTGTGTAATAGATAGATAGCTTTAATTCCTCCAATTTCTGAAGATATATACAATACAAGATATAAAAGAAATAGAGAAAAAAAAGTAAGAAGAAGTTATTTACAAAATAAGATAATGCCCAAGTTTAATAGGTTTTTGTCAGCATCTCATCCAACTGAGTCCATTGAAGTTAATAGATTTCGAATATTCTTCAACACAATTAAAGAAAATTCGTAAGTCCGAATTTGATTTGAACAATTTTGACCAGGAAGCTGTCCACTAATGATTGTTGCATAAAGATCGGTATCATCCAAGGAATGAAGTCGCGCGAGAACGTCTGTTGGTAATTTATCAGTTATTTCATCCTAGACTTTATTTCGCCAATCATTGAAATTTGGGCATAACATGACGAAGTGAAAATTAACGTTGCATACTTGAGAGTGGCAAAAATTACAGTGCGTTGTTCCTTCAATATAAGTCCATGATTCAAAAATGCGAGGCACATTACCGCAAATAATGTTAATTAGCATAATAATTGAAGATTTCTGATTTCGAAAAAGTATCCTACTTTTTCGCTAGTCTCCGCATGTACAACGGTTCAAGATTTGTATGAATTTCCTTGTAGAAAACAAGTTCCTGTTTGTTGCATATACCGTTCTTCCATTTTTCGACCTCCAATTTCTTAATTTCATTGTATACAATCATTTTCCATGCAGCTTTTGAAGGGAAAATTTTCTCATTTATGTAGGTCGTGAGGTGGCAACTTAAGTTATACTTCTCAAGTGTACGAATAATATCTGGAATTAAGCCAAAGCGTTGTTTCACTGGAACGGTAAAGTACGAGAATAGGCGAGCAATAAAGATTTGCTTTGAAATCAATTGTGCATTCATGTGACATAACCTGCCAAAAAAAGCTAACTTAGCTTTGTCCATTTCCACTTCCATAGACCATAAACCTAGGCTACCAGTGACTGCTTCTGATCTTGTATTTAGATCGAGACCCTGAAGACGTTTGGCGTTGAAATGTTTACACCTTTCCATAGCCATTATTTCGTTTGCTGTTAGGTTGTTCCACAGTTCGCATCCATAAAGAGTCGTTGGAATTCCTATTGTGCACCATAAGTTTGCTCCACAAATTGGCTTCCGTGCATTTGGACGCACTCCGATGTTAGCAAGGCCTGCCATTACGGATTTGCCCTTTCGACAAGCATCTAATGCTCTTTTTGTACTTGAAAAGCTTCCACACAATTCAATACCAACATGAGTCCAGCACTCTTCTTCCCGCACTGGAACATCAAAAAGAGTCCATCTCCTTGTATTCTTCATTCTATTGCGCATTTGTGTGAAATAAAATGCCAGTTTAGGCTATATTTTTGTAGGGAACTCAACATTTCTTGCATGCCTTTAACACGCGTAGATAACAGTGCAATATCATATATCAGCAACCATGATTTAATTGCATGGAATATTATTCAAATAAAGATTCTCATTTCGATGAAAAATTTTCGGCAGATCGTCGTTGTAAATCATGAAAAGCCAGGGTGAAAGAACGCCACCCTGTCGCACACCTTTCAAGACAGGAAATTCCGCAGAAGGTACACAGTCTATTAAAACTCGACTGACTTGGTATACCAGTTCCAAAGCAGACGCCAAGTCTTACCTTGGATTCCAAAGTTATACAATTTGTAGAAAAGTCCAGAGATCCATACTGTATCGAATGCTTTCTTCGAATCTAAGAAGCAGCAATAGACTTTGCTATCGTTCTCGATATTGTGTAAAACAGCTTCTTGCAAAGACATGCTGGCATCCAAACAGCTTTTCTCTCGCTGATAAGCATATTGTAAACTATTTGGAAAACCTTTTTCTGCTAGGAACGGCATCCATCTTTCTAAAGTTAATCTTTCAATTCAAATATCTTTCCAATAACATTTAATAGCGTTATTCATATATAATTGTCTTTATCATGTCTGATTGTTTTATTGGTTTTGAAGAGAGATATAATATCTCCAAGAGCTAAAGAACTTGGCATGATTTCAATATTCCTGACAGCATTTAGTATAGCCGTGAGACTGCTCATTATGGCATGACCTCCGTATTTGATATGTTCGTAGGTCAAACCATCTGGACCAGTAGATTTTCCATTTGGTATAACTGAACAAATACTGCACTAACTTCTTCAATAGCGAAAGGATTATCCAACGCATCATAACTTGCGTTTTTGCTTTCCCTCTCGTATTTGGGTATACTGCTTTCTACATGCGCAGTAAAGATTTCATCGAATTTTGAGTTTGCTACTGGGTTGTACAATTGGGAATAGTGTTCTTTCCACATCTCACGTAATTCATCAGGGTCACTTACAAATTTCCCATCAATTTTTAGGGCACTTGACTGGATACCTCTACTTTATCGCTTTTTTGACATAACGCGTTGGAAAGCACCATTGTCAACTTCAAAAACACTCTCAAGTCTTTCATATTCTTGAGATTCGTACTCATGAGCTTTTCTCCTTAACCCTCTCCTAAAGTCCCGTTTTGCTTGTTTATAGGTCATAAAATATCTATTTTCAGAATCACGAGGACGCCCTTGGAAAATCCAAATCTTCCTGTAATAGTGGCATCGGTCATGCATGAGATTTAGCCCTTGTTTCCAGTAAGGCTTAAGATATTTTTTGAACTTTACTTTTGGTATAGATCTTTCTACGCATGTCTGAAGCAAATTAGTTACATCGGTAAATCTTTTCTCAATTGATGTAATATCAGTTAACAACGACTCATCTGCGTTCAATTGCTCAAAAGCAGCAGATATGGTTCTTTGATAATTTTCCCTAATGGCAGGAACAGACATTTTTTTCCATGCAATAACTGTTTTAGGTTTGTTTTCTCCTGTAATATTATCAGCGCAAACATTTAGCACACAGAAGATAGGTCGATGAAACGAGAGATTTCCACTGTGATCATCGCCAATATGACAAGATTGAACGAGGTTTATATGATCTAATTCGTTTATAAATATGTGATCGACAGTTGTCTTAATGGTACCATTGTTGCTGTAAAAAGTTTCAATAGGTCCTGTGCAGTTGGTTTGCGAGTTTATAGACAATAACAAAAACTTGTCCACTAAAGCGATAAAATGTTTACCCCTTTCATTAATTTTGTTAAAACTTCTCGCACCGCCAAAAATTCATATATGACAATAGAGGTCTCCAAGAACTATAAATGGGCCCCGATCAAAGAGCTGATTGATGACATCTTCTAATTCGTCAACCGAGTTTTATAGGGAAGAATAGGTTGATTTGCTGAAGGTAAATATGCTCCAATTATGTAAGAATTATGTTTGTCATCAGTTGTAACTTGAACGGCAATTATACGATCATTGCCAATGTCATGCATGATTTGAATATTTGCATTTAGAGATTTTCGCCACAAAATTGCAATTTCGCCTTTTCCCCGCCGCAAAAGTGAATTGAAATTAATTTCGTTGCTGGATCTGCCCCACCCAGTAAAATCATAATGAAGTGTCGTCGCAATTCGTATATTTTTATGTTTAATTTAATTATGTTTCCTATTTATTTTTCTTATCTTGGAATAGTTTACCCAGTTTTTCCCTTGTCATCCAAGCTTTACATGAAAACGAATCTGGGCCAAAAACCGTTTTCAGAGATAACCGAGCTATCTGAAGCTAGCACATTAAGTTTAGCAGAAATAGTTCCTTTGCGTCGGCTTGAAAACGTTCTCAAATGAGTAGGACGATTATTTCTCTTTTGTAGATAATTTAAAATAGTTTCAGCAGTTACAGTATCGGCAATCCCGCGCACAGGGAAATTTTATTTACGTTATTTCGCTTTCGTTTAACGCCGATAAAGGCATCAGATTCCAGCGCTGAAGCATCAACACTGGCAGCAGTCTCAATGAAGACAACTTCGTCATCTTTGTTACTTTTAGAATTGTTTTTTGTGATTGAGTGCGTAAATTACCATTAGTTGAGTTAATATTATCCACCTCAAGACAACAACATCAGGAATAGTACTGTTGTGTAATTTACTTTGGTCTGACTGAATGTCATGTTTGTTTAAAATTACTTCGCCAATGAACTCATAAGATAAGTCGTTTTTTAAGTTGTTTACAACATTCGCGTCCGTGTTGTATCAGATATACAAACTCTCGCCTTCGCCTCGAGTTTGTATATCTGATACAACACGGCCGCTCATGTTGTAAACATTACATACCTAATTCATAAACCGTATATGCGCACGAAGTCTCGCTCATAGTCATTGCAGTGATAAAGATTAAAGTTGATTTAAATATTGATGACTCACAGCGCGGCATTATACAAGTCGAAAGAAGCTGTATTTTAAGCCGGGTTATTCTTCAAATAAAGCCCTGAATGGGCAATGGCAATACCAATGAAAGGTCTTTATAAGATTTATAATTATCTTCTGTACATGTAAATTACTGTAATACATGAAAAATGAAATAATTTACTGTAAAGTACAATAACAGTGTCTGGTGCACTATAGTGCATATATCGTCCTAAATATTGAAGTTGCACCACACGCACGGAAACGCACGGAGGAGTCTTGGCGTTCCTGTGACAACAGATAGCTATACTTCGAGTCTTCGACATAATCATTCTTGATCGTTGAGTTTCAACAATGTAAATGAAAGGAATTTTACAGTCCATAACGGGTATTAATCCTGTACTTTCACAGTCAAGATAGCACTATTGTTTACACACAGTTGGCAATGTTTGTGAAATCAAAGGATCATCCCGTTATAAAATAAATCCGTTGTTTTGAATGTCGGACAGGATACACTTCAACCACAAACAACCATATCGGTTGATCGATCAGTCGGTGTAGAAGACATGCATATATGTTTCTACGGCGGTGCGTGCTCAACTTCGCAAGCCAGGCGGGTGTGGAGTCCTTTCCTTGGAAGCGGAAATATAATCCACCGCAACACTTATTGCTGATGACATTCAGTATAGCAGGAAGTCGTGTCATGATGAATACGAATTTAGAACAGTTCCTTTCACGATTTCTTGTTGTGAAATTACATTTTTATCACCCGAAACCATAACACTTAAAATTGCAATTTTCCAAACGCAACAAACACACTCCACTACTACCCTTCCCTAAGATCAATTTCAATTTACCACGCAAAATCTGCGTGACACGTGACCAGCCCCAACCAGGGTCTTTCCTCCAAAAGAGGGAAGAGCCCGGAAACGAGGTTGAGTTATGTAAACAAACCTGGGACCATCTGGTTTGGGCAGGGGCGAAACTTGAGGGGGGTATGGGGGCGTGTCGCCCCCCCAAAATGCGAATCATCCCAATTGGTAGGGCAATCAAAAATTTTAAATGATAGACTGTAGAGTTATTAAGTAAATTATTACAGCTAGCAAACAATAAGCAATTCATATGCATGTACATTGGCAACGGCAGTTCAATTACACACGTAGCTTAGTGATGTATTGTATTAGCGCTGGCGCTGCAAGCTGCCGGGCATCATTGGTTTTGGCAGGGCAATTCTGTCAGACACCCGCCCCTCCCCTAATTAAAAGGGGCTAGTTTCGCCCATGGGTTTGGGCAGTAAATGATTACGTTTCATAATGTAACTGACAAATATTTTTTGTTTATAGTTTTGATGATAGGACGGCACTCCATTGTGCTGTAGCGGCTGGAAAGCTTCCTGTTGTAGAATTCTTGATTGAGAAATTCCCTGATATGATCGACTGTACGACCGACTGTGGCGAAACGGCAGCGTGTGTTGCAACTGGGCTAGGCAATGTAAAAATCCTCAAATATCTTTTGAATAATGGAGCCCAAATGAAAGGTGACAAAACAACCAGGATTAATATTCTCGATAGCGCATTCGGATCCTTTGAAAAGGCAGAAGGCACAATCAAGGAAATTATCAGCTTTTGCAAGGAGGACGGCAAGCCAAATAGACTTAAAGAGGTAATAACATAAACATGACTAACATGAAAGCAGGCAGTCGCAATTTTAATTAAAAGCCGATTTATAATATCTGATTGGTTTGGATAAACCGAATAGACAGGATATACGTTATGCTTACCGGTAACCTATAGGGACCTTGGATGTGAATAAGCTGTTTTGTTATATGGCTGACATAAATCTTCGATTCTGATTGGCCAACGCGCGTATGGTCAAATTCAATCCTTACCGGACCACAGCCGTTTCGCGGCCCATGTATACAACTCCCTAATTATATATTATATTATAATCGTTTTCCATGCTCACTCGGATATTTGTAACAGCTAGGGGCTTGGATTTCTAGAAAAATTCGGATGAGACTGCGATTTTGTCAAAATTTAAGCCGGAAAATGGGATCGCTTATATAACCCCCGCCCCTGGAACTCTCATAGGGTGGCGTTGTTTCGACAGCTAGCCTGTTCCTATACATTATATTAAATTCGTTTAGCTTCACACCGATTAATAATCTTTAATTTAATTTAGTTGATAGAGGATTCTCATTTTGGTGCCGATCGTCTTATGTCAAAGCTCATTGAAGATATTCCAAGTGTTGCCATGGATATCTTTGACCAGTGTGTTTATGAGGAGACTAGTCTGGAAAATCGGTCGTACGCAGAAATGGTGGAAAAAACGAACGACACATATAACTTTTTCCCCTTCAAACCAAAAGACCCAACTAAGAGTAAGTAAAATATTACACACTTCCTGAAACCACGTCACCTTGGTTATAGAGCCTCGTTTTCGTGTTAGGTTTCAACTAATGTCACGTACACAAAAAACAACCTCGTGCACGAAAACGAGGTTCTATAGTCGATGTTACACACATTCCGAGAGGATGTGTTGAATTCAGGTTGAAAAGAAATTACTACCTATTATATTTTCCTTCCAAGTTTTTAATAATTAGGTCTTCCTTTTTACGTGGATTAGTTAGTTGTTGTGACTGCCTTGATTCACAGGAACGGTGATTCCTAACCAGTACGTTAACACGCATTGCGTGGACACATGCGGAGAAATTTGATTGGCTGTTTAATTTAAAACTTTGGACACAAGATTCTTCAGACATTCCTGAAAAAATAACCTACCATGTTCATAAGCCTTTTCGTAATGTCGACCGTGCATCAGAAAGACGTATTCGAATTTCGAGTCGGGATAAGACTAATTCCGATTCATAACATCACCTTAAGGGGGCTCCCTACAGTAGCATGCGGGATAACCGTGCGACGCGTGGCAAGTACGTGGACTATCACACGAAAACTCCACGATCAAAACAATACAATAATTGGCAGAGATTTTTAATCATGCTGATTCTGAAAGATTTGTAATGAAAAAACATTTGTGAATAATTTTTCGTTTCGGGTATCAAATCAATTTTGACATTGAAGAACAGTTTTATATATGCAGCATTTTAGAGAAAACTGTTTTGACAGTCATGCACAGCGATGCATACTCGAGGAGATTCAGATTTTGAGTTATCCTCTACCTCTACTATCCAAGCTCGTGGTTGGTTGATTATAACAATCAAAGACAATAATACTATAGAAATCGTCTTTCTATAAAGAACGAGTCACAAACAATGATAATTTTTGTTTCTGATTTGTTTCTGAAAGCCAATCACAAAACATGATCATTTCAGGTAGGTGTTTACCCCAAATCTGACATCCACTGCCGCTACTGATACGTCTCCTGATTCAGTAACATCTGATTGGTTAATCGGGTAGATCTAACCCGTCTGACTGTTATAACTGGTAATTCATGCATGGTCTCTTAATAAAGGACTATTCTAAATGGTTCATGGTCCATTAATAAATAGCTGTTCTAAATGGTTCATGTTCCCTAAAAGGGTCCCATAAACCATCACAAAATATCTTTCTCTTGTCAATGTCTTTAACGAGACTTTTGTTAGCAAAACTGTAGTGGTTTCTGCATTGTAAGACAGAGAAGCGGCTTTCTTATGTAACACTATTATTTATGCATTTGTCAGATTATAATACATTTTACTTTTTAATCAATTAATAATTTGTGTGATTTGCAAGCACTTTTTAAGGACTTTTAACAGATTTTGTATTTTCAAGGAGTTTTAAAATCCCGTTAAAAAATTCGAAAAATTTAAGAGGAGAATTTTTTCTATGTCGCGTCTTTTCGATGAAAAGCGCTCAAAACCTACGCAATGCAAAAAATGACGTTGTCGCGTACGCGTCAGCTGTATGGCGTTTACAAAATAGCAAAAAAGTTAAAACTTTTGAGAAAATCAGCTGAAAAGCCGTTCAAATCTGCTATATTTTCAGGTAAGTGCTTTTAACTACTCTAGAAATATAAAGAATATATCGTTTTGTCTTTCGTAAAATTGGTGTAATTGGTAATAAATATTGTTCTGATTTTTTGTAACTTCCGGTGTTATGAAAACAAGAAAGCCATTCAAAGTCAGTCAAAATATGTCGTAATTTTATGCAATTTAAAGAGATGTAAAACTAGTCTTTTTTAAAACGAAGATCTAAAAATGATGCGAAAAATATTACTCTCCGGTGTTTCTTGTTGCTATCTTGGCCAGACTCTTTCGATTCGCAGCTTTCATATATTTATTTTAGCTGTAGCGCGTTTCGTCCTAAACTCTAAAGGCTAAAAACCTGACATCGACGAGGTTTTAGATCTGCTTTCGTCTTCATACAATTTTAACTCAAGGACATTTGTAAAAGCAAATTCGTGCAGCCAATAAGGCAATAGTAAACTATATAATCAACATATATAAACAATGTTTGAACATTTAGACTATACATGTAAATATGTTATTACTTTCCCTTCAATTCAGATACGTAATTTAGCAAGAATGACTACTAGGCCTACAGATGTGAACGAGAAGGTATATTTATCTATGAGCAACTTTTATTTTGCTGTTTAAGTTGGTGAAAATCTCGCTGGTCATGCAACATTTATATATTTCCGAACTAAACTGCACATTTTTTCACAAATTATTACTCTTATCTTGACTTGCAGAGCATTCAAACTCTGAGAGCACTCTACGGCAAAAATAAGCCCTCATTGAAAAAGATTCAAGCAACTGAAATGTTTATGAAAGGGGAGAATTCTTTTCTGGTAATTGCGAGAGTCCTGAACGTTGCTACTGCCACAGCAGAAGTATATGCAATCGACGGATATTGTTCTGGTGCCCCATTATCTTACCAAGACCTGGCACCACAATTTAATTTAAATAATGAAGAAGCAGATATTATTGCTGCTGAGCTACGGAGAGACAACGTTAGCTTAAGAATCGTGCGAGATGCACTTCAAAATGCTTTCAGTTACAACCAAATTAGGCTTGTGCTAGCTGCATTGATTCGCGGGGAAATATGAACTGAGTCAGAGTTGCATGATGTCCTATTCCAAAGAACGGACACTTCTTTTGTCAAAAGAGTATAAGACAAGTTTTTTATAACTTAGGAGTTTTAGGATTTTTAAATAAGAAAATAATTTGTGTATTTAAGAAAAGAAAAACAGTTTTTGTGAATTTTAAATTGTGAATTTAAAAATTTGATGTTGTATTCGAAACTAAAAATCTCTTACCTTTTTTGCTCCATTTATAATATTCACTCCAGGGAAACACGTTTTTCAAACTGTTAGCACTTATTATATATCAGTAATTTCCGTGAATCAGCTTTCTGTGGAGTAATTTTTATCACTTTCACGATATATACACCCAAAATATTCCACAAGTATTCTTTGCATGCTTGACAATGGCAAAACGTTTCGACTTTCGAGCACGACGAGCAGGTTTTACCAGTTGCATAGCAACCAACATAACAATAACGGCTGAACCGGGGGGAGAGGTAAATTAAAGGAAGGCTAGGAAGCTGAAGCAAAATGATTCATGATTAATTTTGCGTGTTCTTAATCGAATGACATTTATTTTGAAATGAAAAAAGAAAGGATGATAACATTTTATATTGTTGATTGTTTTTTCGAGACACTCTGTAGTAGCAACCTGTTTAGTGTTATAATTGGGATTGTATCTTGATGATAAGGACCCACTAGAAGTCATATTCACAGTATAATTGTGGAAATTTCCGTAAATGCGGCTTTAATATCGTGTAAAATCTTGCTACTACTTTGGCTTTCGTGCACGATTTATATGCTTATATGTATCAAGATCAAAGAGAAATTATATTGATGCGCGTTAGTGCGTTTATACAATACATGCATACAGTATAAGGGTCATAGGACGTAGCAATAGGCAGGTTGAGATTTCTGGGATTGATATATCCGATTCTTGTGATCGCGCAACTCTTTCGATTTTATGTAAACCCAATGCAATACGTATGTGTGAATACTGGGATATCTATAATCATGAAATAATAAAGTCAGGACCATTTCCGCCGTGGCGCATTTCTCGCGTATTCTAATAGTACCTATAAATATAAAAACGCCCAATAACGTTTCCTTCCCATCAGATCACAATGTAGGTAAACATGTATACAGATTATCCCCTCACCCCCAACCCGCCACCATACATGTTCATTGTTTGACGTTTTTCAAAATGTGAAATGTTTGCAAACCAATAACATTGTAAGGTGTGGGCAAGGGGAAGTGATATTAGCGTGTAAAATGATTTTGCCTCATTTGAAGTATTTTTCATTTAACTTGTCCTTAATTTACAATTATTCCAAGGTTACACAAACTACTCGAGTGTACACACAGGGCATAAAAATCAAAATATGCGAACAAAGGTCTGGCCAAGACGAATTCCGAATTCTGGGGAGGATATTTCTAAAAAAAAACACATCCTTTCGACAATAACGTCATTTGAGTTCAATAAAAATTGATACAATAACAATAAAATGGATTTTTTATTTTTACAAATTGCAATTTTAAAATACATCTATATAAATTTATGACTTGTATCTATATAATCGTTTTTCCATAATAATACAAAATATTGTTTCGAGTTTATTTCAACAGAGCATGATTTATACGAATTTCAAATATTTATTTCTAGCTTAAAAATGGAGCGTGTACAACCAAAAGACGATCCATGCATCTTCTGCTTCAAAATAGTGTCATCTGAAAAAGAGAAAAGATACGTTACAACAGAAAATTACACACAATTAGGTTTAACGGAGGATGAATTCATCACAACACGAGGCAAAATAATTTGTTCTGCGTGTAGAATGTCGAGAATACTTCCGAAATACAAGAATAAGTGTCCCACATTAAATTGCACTACGCCGAGAAGAAAAATTAAATTACGTGAATTGCATTTATCCGACAAAGAGGAACTCATCATTGAAGAAAAATTTCAAGTGTCAAAGAACGAAAATGTATGCCGGGCCTGCTCGTACAAAATATACAAATACATTACGACTAGCTTGAAAGTAGAAAATAACGATTACATTCCAAAAGCTATAAGCCAAATGGATTCTGTGATCTGTACCTACAATAGATATCCAGCCTCGAGTAACATCAACGTTCAACAACTAGATGCCTCAACACCTCCACTCAGCAATAACATCAGTGAGAGATATCCAGCCTCGAGTAACATCAACGTTCAACAACTAGATGCCTCAACACCTCCACTCAGCAATAACATCAGTGAGAGATATCCAGCCTCGAGTAACATCAACGTTCAACAACTAGATGCCTCAACACCTCCACTCAGCAATAACATCAGTGAGAGATATCCAGCCTCGAGTAACATCAACGTTCAACACCTAGATGCATCAACACCTCCACTCAGCAATAACATCAGTGAGAGATATCCAGTCTCAAGTAACATCAACGTTCAACAACTAGATGCCTCAACACCTCCACTCAGCAATAGCAGCAGTGAGAGATATCCAGCCTCGACTAACATCAACGTTCAACAACTAGATGCCTCAACACCTCCACTCAGCAATAACATCAGTGAGAGATATACAGCCTCGACTAACATCAACGTTCAACAACTAGATGCCTCAACACCTCCACTCAGCAATAACATCAGTGAGAGATATACAGCCTCGAGTAACATCAACGTTCAACACCTAGATGCATCAACACCTCCACTCAGCAATAACATCAGTGAGAGATATCCAGCCTCGAGTAACAAGCTTAACCATGGAGGAAGACCAAGGAAAAAGTTCAGCGAAGGAAGCGTATCTACGAGACGTAGAATAAAATCAAAGGCAAAGAGTTTACTGAGTGAACTGGTTGGCAAGTATGACGAAATATCGAAAGGGGAAGGACGGGAATTATTTGAAGATGTTTGTGATAAAGTACCAATTAGTAGCACAACCGACAAAAAATTGCTCGAAGTGGTTCATGGTATCGCAAAGGCTTACACAAAAGAACCGCCAGGACCCGCCGGAAAGACTAGAATTTTAAGCACTGTTGCAAACGCCTTTTCTAACAAGGAACTTCAAGCCAAATTTAACTGCACTGACTAAGAAATCACACAAGCTTGTAGACAAGCCACTGAATATGGACCTGGGGTTACACCACCAAAGAAAAATAAATTTGTTACGAAATACAGAATTCCACTTGAAGACCTTGAGTTTGTCCTCAATTTTATTCACCATCCAGATAATGCAGTTCCATCTTCTCACAGGATGGCTTCATGTGACAGTAAAAACTCATCTTGGATTTCAGATCTCGTTGGTGGAGGAAAACTACCCGTTCTGTGGTTGAAAGACGGAAAGCATCACCTTTACGACAAATACAAGGAAGAATGTTGTAGGCGAGGTAGCAGACCAATAAGTAGAACTAAATTCTTGGAGGGATTAAATGCAGGTAATTTCAAAGAAATGGTAGAAATGGCTGGCTTATGCAACATCTGTGACGAGGTGGGAGCGCGAAATTTTGAAAGTTTGGACGCGCTGCTTTCCAGCTTAGACGAGGAGATAAAATTGCACAAGCCAAAACCAAGTTTGATAGCAGAAACCCCCGAAGTTGACTGTGGCCGTGGAATTGTATCCCAAGTGGTGACAATGGTTGACTTATCAAACCATGAAGACGACAAGCAGCAAATCGACCCGCTGCCTTACGACTCTCCGATTCTGATGGTGGAAGTAGAACCTGGTCTATCCGATCTACCGTTGACACAGGCGCTCAGGAAGAGATTGAAAGGTTTCAGAGGTCATCTATTATCGGAATTCCAACAATCCCTAAGCAGTACGTCAAATACTCCTTGCCACTGCATGACCTGGTTGCTTGAAGCGGAACCCAAGTGCAAAGACCATGAAGAAATATGCAACAAATGCTTCGAGAGATATCTGTTATTTGAAGATATTCAAGAATGTGTCTACCATAGCAACCTACCCAAAGAAAGAAAGGTCCACTACAAAGAATTACTTGATGGAATTGAATTAAAGTCACGAATGTATATAGCTCATCTCGTTCGTGGCAAGTACCAAAAGCAAGAATTTTTGAAAGCCATACGTGAGCTTCGTTCCGGCCAAACGATCGCAGTATGCGACTACAT